AATAACACAAGATTCACCTGCCTCCCACCACCCCTAGTACACCTCCAGGTAAACAACCAGGTCTCAGCAGAGGAATCTGCCCTGTGCCAGCACACCTGCAAGCAGCCGACGGCGCGCAGCTCGCCGCCTTCCTCCGTTGTGCTCACAGAGGAGGTCAGTTAGGCCCCAGTTCTCACTATCCGGTCTCCTACATAAGGCTGTGGTCAGGGAGTGCATCTCACGTGGGGTTCACACCCATGTGATGAGCCACAAGTAGCATGCGCTATGCGACCTGTGCAGTAGGAAGATCAGCAGAGGAGTGGAGCATGACCTTAAGCACTGGTGGACTGAAGGGCCCTTAAGCTCTCGACTAAATTCTCCCAAGCTGATCCAGAACGACTTATCACCATGATTAGCTATCTTTTTCATTTCAAAAAGCAGTTTTAAAAATGTGGACAACAAAAGGAAAAGACAGTAATATAACGTGATCATCTCTTTATCTTTCGATAAAAAGGTATTTTTTTAAAACACGGTGTAACAAAAGCCTACAATCTTCATGATTACACCATAAAAGGAAATTTTATTGCCTAAAGGAGAAAATGTACGTTTCCAAGGGCTGTGAGTCATCTAAGTGCCTGTGTGCAGGGCCCCACCTTCTCCTCATTTTCTCCCTTGTGTTGGTGGAAATATCACAGCCTTTCACTAGTTCTCATTTAAGTTTTGCTGATCTATTTAGTTTCTTGGCTTTTATTTCATCCATCCTTAATCCTCCCCACCCCACCAATGACCTCAAAGTGATTGTGTACACAGCCTGCTTTAGACCCCAGCAGGATGGTGTGTGACCACCTCCACCGGGCACCTCGGTGTCTGATTAGGGGTTGCTCCTCCTCCAACATTAACCCAGAGTAAGGTGAGGCCAGCATCACACTAAACATTACCAGTTCCCCAGCATGCGCAGTAGCCTGGTGCGCCCCAGATGGAAGGCGTTTCCTAAAGCTGGTGATTATAAATACAAGAGATTAATGGAATCAGGCTGGGCCAGCTTAACACACAAACTGCCTAATGTGAGACCTTCCTATTTTCTGCCTCCTTTGTCTCCTCTTTGACCTGGTTTCCTCTTGATCTCAACAACAAATCTCAGACAAGGTCTTTTTTTCCTTTTTCCTTTCTTTCTCCCTCCCTCCTTCCCTTGATTTTTCTCCTTTTTGTCCAGTACTATGGGTGGAACTCAGGGCCTCGAGCATGCTAAGCAAGCACTCTACTGTTGAGCTATATCCCCACCCCTTTTGGAAACAGGGTCTTGCTAAGTTGCCCATGCTCGCCTCGAACACGCCATCCTACTGCCTCAGCCTCCTGAGTAGCTGGGTTATAGTTCCGCAGCACCACCCCTGGCTAGACAAGTACCCTTGTGCTGCCTATCTAGAAACAGCTCATGAATTCAATCACCAAGCAGCTATCACCAGCCATGCAGTTGACAGATAACGCACTTGGCCCGCGTACATCACATTCTGGACCCTCGGTCTCATCTCTCCCTGCTGTCTGCATTAATTCTCCCCATCCTTCCGTTCCCAAATGCCTTGATATTTAAATAAGCCTGGACAGTCCCTTAACTCAGGTTGTCTTACCTCACAGTATCTCCTTTTGGTGACTTCTTTAAACAGCAGTGCTGCTTCCAGCTACAAGACCTCGTTCCAAGTTCCCATTTTCTGCCCTTAGACACAATGGTCTCAAAATAAAGTGTAACTATCCCAGTTCCAGGGCATCCACATCCAGCCCAGTTACAGAGTCAGAGGCCACATAACAATGTTTTGGTCAGTGGAAGCCCGCATATGCACGGCAGTCGCATAGTGGAGATGAAAATCTTCTGTGGCCCAGGGACGTGGTAGCCACTGGATGCTGTGGCACAAGGCATTACGTACGTGTGTGTGGGGTGATGTGGTGGGAGCGACCCCACTGTGCTGCCAGCCATGGAAAGTGACAGCACCTCCAGTGGTTTTTATGGGCTAGGACACTCAGTGATGACGGAAGGGTGTGCTACTGGCTTGTGTGGCCGGGACGTGTTTGATCACCAGTGTACGCCCACTTACCAGTTTACCGTGCAACAGTATGCTGTGCTACGCAGCTGCAGCCTGGTACCTCTCGTGTTTACTGCGTCTCCTGATGGTATCATTTCCCTGCACTGATGTAGCCTTGTATTCACGTCAACACACACTGTGATGTCCTCACAATGCCAAAATTACCTAGTAGCACATTTACCAGAAAGCATCTCCATCCTGACACAGCACGTGACAGTATTTTCTGAGCCACAACTTCCCTCCAAGCACGTGGCCTTTGATTAAAATAAAATAACATGACAAAGGGCTCACAGGGCAGTGGAATGCAGTCTATCACCCTGTTCCTGAAGGAGTCATCTAGAACTTCCAACTTCATAAAGCGCTATTCTACCCAGCTGTGGAGGGAGGGAAAATAGAGGCTATATGTAGCAAATTATTCCTTGGGACCTAGAAGAGATGAACCAGATGGAAAAGCAAGTTTTTAATATATCATTCTCTTCTGAAGTGTCAAGTCAATCCACTGCTAGAATTCCCCTGTATGTGGCACCTGGCTGAAATAATTCCTAAAGAAGTAAAACAGAACCAGTTCCCATTCCTGGGTTCCTATGAGGTCCATTTCTTAAAGCAACACCATCCATTTCCATTTCAATCCCTTTCTGAGTTGTTCATTTCTACAACCTACACTTAAATGGCTACACCATACATTCACTGAGAGTGGGCATATGTTCATACTTTCTGACCAGTGTTCATGTAGTCATGTGATTTTGACCCTTGTAAGTGACAGCTTGGGTATAATAAACTAAAACCTGAGCCCCCTCCAGGAAGCAAAAACCCTAGCATGTAACTGAGTAGCAAGTGTGCTGTGTCCATGTATGGGAAGGAAAGAATACAAGGCAAAAGAGGGTGTGTGCAAAACAGAGTAAAAGGCATCATCAAAAATGTCAACTTCAAAGGGCCCAAGTGAGCCCAGGAAAGACCAACAGAGAGAGGAAAAGAGGGGCGAGCATGGAGGGCAGAAAGAGCAAAGACTCTGAGGTAGCTGAGGAAGTGGGGGGATGTGTGGCTTCCAGACTGGGGACCACTCTCAGAGGCTGAAGGGAGGACCAGGCAAAGGAGAGGAGGCCCTACTGCTGTGCAGGTGGGTGTGCCCGTGCCAACTCCTCCATCTGAAAGTTTCTCTCCTGAGCACATACTCTTGATAGTGAACAACACTTGAATTCTGAATGCGATGTCCTCACCATCTGTGTTCACAGCACAGCTCTATGTCATGGAGTCTCTGGTGCTGCGCCAAGCCCTCTTTGAAACGTCTTGCAAGGGTGGGTTTGCTGTCCGTTTAAATTGCCTTGTGCAGAAGGCCTCCCACTCTCTGCACACCAACAGCTTTCTCCCCAGGGTGAATGGTCTGACACTGAGCCAGGGTGGAGCTGAGCTCCCAGGAAAACGTTACCACTCCTTACACCATGTGGTTTCTCACCAGTATGAATTCTCTGACACCAGGTGTAAGCATCTCCCTCCCAGAAGCCCCGTGGGTCCCTGCAGTTGAGGGGCTTCTTCCCAGGGTGCGCTCCCCAGTGATGAGAGTGCGTACCCCAAGACAAACACCGTCACACTCCTCACCCTCGTGGCTCCTCTCCCCAGAGCGCAGCTGCACCACAGAGCTTTACTGCACTCTGCACAGTAGGGTCGCTCTCCAGCGTGGATGCTCTGGTGCGGGGCAAAACTGGAGTAGAAGCTAAGAGCCTCTCCACACTCCCCACACAGGGCTTCCCTCTTGTGTGGCCTCATCTGTGTGCCACATGTGCACTGAGGTGCCCCATAATCACTACCCATACACAGCCACTGGCCACTGTGCATCCTTTGGTGCAAAACAAAGCAGAGTTAGGGCCCCAGGCTTTGCCACACTCCACAGTAATTCTAGCTCCAGCTCATGCACAAGCAGCCTAAATGATGACGGCAGTGTCGGTCCCTCACATGAGATTTGTGGGAGATGTGTATTCCTGAAAGCTGTGGTGTACTTCAGGCTGAGAACACTGATCTTTCTTTCTGATCTCTTGTGGCTGGCTTCTGCTTTCTGCAGGAAGTTCTGACTAGCTTTCAGAATCTTACTCACTTCATCCCTTGTTAGATTCCCTCTATGTCTAATTTGACCTCTGACTCACAGGTATCTTGAAAATCAGGTCCTTCCTCAAACATCCACCTGATGCCATGGCACAGTGTTCATCAGAAATTAGTCACATGCTCACTCTCAGCCCAGGTTTTTCCATGGAACAAGAAACATGAAAATAAAGCCTCTGGGCATGGCTGGAGGAAGCAGACCGGCTTAGCAAACTCTTGCAGTAAGGGGTGCGTGGTCACTTTAGGCTCATCAAGCCACCTGGTTTTTGTAGCAAACACTCTACTGCTGTGGTAAGAGCAACCTTCAATATGTACGTGGGTGAGCATGACTGAATCCCAATAAAGCTCTATTTATGGACACAGATATACGAATTTCATGTAACTTTTATGTCCTACAAAATATTCGTATCATTTCCTTCAATAACAAAAAAAACCAAACTCTTCCCCCACAAACCATCCACAGAAAGACAGAAGACAGGCTGGATACAGACAAGGCTCTATCAAGTCAGCAGGCACGTTTTAAATACTAACGGAATCATGGAAAATGGCTGTAACATACCTGAAAAGCCACTACATAAAACAGTACGTATATAACTGCTGACATCTAGAAATGTAATATATTTGACAACACCCACGAAGGAGGCCCACAGGGGCAGGTAGAGTGACTGATACTGGATACAGGGTTTCTTTTGGAGGTGACAGAAAGGATTTGAACATAGACTGTGGTGATTTTTGCACAACTCTTGTGAATATATACTGAATACCACTGAATTGTACACATTAAGTGAATGGAATGTATGGTTTGTGATTATATCTCCACGAAGCTGTGTATAAAAAGGCACAGGAGCCAGCTTTGCATGACAGAAAGAGTAACTTTAATGAACACCAAATCTGTGGAAATCCGAGCATTTACAGAAAAAAAGAAAATGTAAAGTTGCCATAGTTTAAGGTGGTTCTTAACTTCTTACGTGGAAAAGAGGAAAAGGTCAAGAATTAAACTTTTGTCTTGTCTGCTCAGCACTGAGGATTTCCAGAAATCTTCACATCCTATCGGACGAAGTATCTGTAAACTAGGCGAGTGTATCTTCTTAGTTTTAAGATATAATCTAATGGAAAGAAAAATCGTGTCTGTAAGATACCTTGAAATATTTCAGTATAAAAATGCTTTTAAACTGTGACATATTGTCATGAAATGCAAAACTAAGTTATTCTTAGCGGGGCATGGTGGTACACTCCTGTAATCCCGGCACTCGGGAGGCTGAGGCAGGAGGATCATTTCAAGTTTGAGGCCAGCCTAGGCTACAAAGTGAGCTAAAGGCCAGCCTGAACTACACAGTGAGACCCTGTCTCAAAAGGACAAAAAAAACATAAAATAATTTTTAAAAATTAAGTTATTCTTCTACAGGTTAATGAACAAGATAATACTGCACCACATTTAATAATCTGTAAAACCAAGAAAATCTGAAAACAAGTGATCACACATAACCAGCATTTAGAAAAACTTTTTTTCATATCCCCAAGGACAAAAGCATTCCGCTGTGTAGAACACTAAGGCAGAGTGCTATCCCTTGCAGCTTAAAGGACGAAACAAACGAATCGGCAACAGTACAATTAAGAGTCACCGTGTACTCTCCTTGGTGCTGGGCACAGAGAACACGTATCTTTCTTTCTTCTTTTTTTTTTTTTTTTTGGTACTGGAACTCAAACTCAGGACCTTGTACTTGCCAGGCAGGTGCTGTGCCGCTGAGCTGTATCCCCAGCATATTTTTTATTTTAATGCAGCAAAGACAAGCAAAGGACAATCTGGAGAATACACTTCTGCCTCACTTACCGGCAAGGCCTGCTTCCCAGCCTCTCCTGATTAGGGCTTCCCTCTCTTGCTCCAGCTCAAAGTTCGGATCTTGTCTGTTCATGGATGCTGCAGCTTCAAGAGAAGAAAAAGTAATACATGGTAAATAAAGTCCCAGGGTCCATTTCATCCTGAGACTGCAGAGAGGAGCAGGAGAGGCGGGGACAGTAATTCCTAAGTGGGCTGTGTAGGAGGTACCCTACAATCTCAGGAAGGGACACTGAGAAGCAGCTTCAGAGATGCTCCACAGGAACCTGAAACACCATGGGAGGCAGATTCCTACTTAAAGGGAAACAAGACTTCTTACTGTGTTAGAGAATGTTAAATTCTCATTGTGAAAAACTGATATATGGCTCCTAAGAGCAGCTCTCAAAGAGAGACAAAAGGACTGGTGCTCTCAAGACAATCCCGAAGTTCAATACTAGGGTAAGGATAGCAAGATATATCTGAATCCCTGGTGGACCCAGAGAACCACTTCTAAGGAAGGAAGGGAAGGAAGGTTCTTACAATTTAAAAAAAAAAGGAACACTTTTGGAGGTCACCAGACCCCACAGCTTTCCATACCTGTCCACCACTGACACTGCCATTTGAGGCCATCTAATAAACAAAAGAAGGCCCTTCCATTTCTGAGAGCTCAGGCAGAGACAGAAAGCAGAGAGCTCTTACCCAGGGAAGCCACGGTCCTATAATTATCTGCTATCACTTCTGCATACAGGGCCTTCTTGGTAGGCTTCAAGCCGGTCCATTCCTTCTCCGAGAAGGGCACTTCCACATCATCAAAAACCTGTGAGTCCTGGAACAATAAATTTTACACTCAAACTTCAGGGTATGGTGATGATCAAAACTGTCACTCACAGCCCAGTGAACGACATGTACAATGACAGCAGTTTTGTGTGAAATACGCAAGGTTGGTGAAAAAGGATACAGAAAGTAAGTCAGCAAGTCAGAGCTCAGCTTCTCACCATGTGATCTCCACATACAGAGAACTGAATCTGCTATGTGGCAGCTGGGCTTGGATCTGAGCATGAAGCACACTATGTGGAAAGAAATGGCCAACACCTTAGTGCCAAGCCTCACTGGCTTTGTATAGTTATCTGGGTTACTCATATTCCTGCCATTTTCCAATCCCGCTTTCAAGCCAGTACTAGAAAACAACTAAAGCCTAGGCCAGGCATGGTGGCACATGCCTGTAATCCCAGTACTCAGGAGACTGAGGCAGGAGGATCGTTGCAAGTTTGAGACCAGCCTGGGCTACAGTGAGTTCAAAGCCAGCCTGAACTGCATAGCGAGACCCTGTCTCAAAAAGACAAAAAAAAAAAACTAAAGCTTATTTACAATAGAATAGAGAGATAATGTGGTATAATCAGATAATGAAAAATTAGTGGTAAAGAAAAAATAAACACCAGTATATGCAACACCATGAGTGCAAGGTTCACAGACATAATGTTAAATGAAAAAAAAAAAATACAAAAGTACATATTGAAGGAGTCCATTTAAAAACTTCCAGAACAAAAATCTACAATGATAAAGATCAGAATAGTAATTAACTTTGGGATAGCAGAATGCTCAGGAGAGGACATGAAAAACAGCATTCTTGAGGTGTTAATAATGTTCTAGGTCTTGACATAATGGTAATGATGGTAATACAGACTTATAGATTTATGAAATGTATAGACTTACATATTTCTAAAAAGTAAGCTACACAGTTAAGACTTGTGTCGAATGTACGTTAAACCTCAGGAAGAAATTTGCATATGAAATGTTTTCCACATTTACGTAGATGCATATGTACAAAGTACACAAACAAAGGTATTTATGAACACACACAAACATGTATATATACATGTATGTACAATGAAACCTAGCTCACCTCGGGTTTGGACACAGTGGTCATCATGCGACCTCTTTTCCTCCTTGTGGAAAAGCAAAAGTCTCAGGAGCTGAAGTTAAAGAAAGAAACATTAGTGATAGTAACTCTACTGACCACAACTCCTAAATACTTCTGACCCACTCTGTTTTGAAGGCTACCTGAACTATTACTTTTTCATCAGTTATTGCAGAAAAGAATCAAGAGATCATTCAAGGAATTAGTAATGAGAAAGTAGACTGACAACACAGGACTTTCAAAGAAAATACAATATAAACCCACACAAATATTGCTGCTAAATTCATGCAGGATTTCTGTCCAAATTCAGTGATCTATATTAAATAAGTATCTATCTAATATAATTGTGCACCATGATTTTCTAAAATCACCATGGTATCACAATATCTAATAAGTTTCTCTTTCAGTAGATACTTAACACGACTGACATATTCAAAGGACTTAAACTGGGCATGGTGCTGCATGCCTGTGATCCCAGCACTTGGGAGGCTGAGGCAGGAGGATTAATGCAGGTTGGAAGCCAACCCGGTCTACATACTGAGACCCTGTTTAAAAAAAAAAAAATAATAATTTTTTTTCCTGTGGGTAAAAGCACGCAGAAGCTGATTCACAAATAAAAGCCAAAATGGGAAGCAAACTGCAACCCAACACCCTCCAGTACTGGCAGAGACCACATGTTTAAACCAACTGATTACAAACTGACTAATAGTCAAGTAAATGTAAGGAGAGGAGCCTGACGGAGGGCGTGAAGAGCGCTCCATCAAGGAACCCTGTCACGCATAACAGCGCACGCACTGAACTACGTTAACCGGTAGACGTTGCACGTTGCAAGCGCGCGCATGCGCGCGGGTGCACACACACAGTGCTCGACGGGCGTGACTCACTACGCGGCTTTGGGCCCAATATTCAAACAAATAATTAAAATATGTACCCATGTCAACCCCCACGATAAATGCACACATTATGAACCACAAACGTGGGCCAATAAAAGCTGTAACATCTTTAAACGCCAATGCCGACAGCAGGGACTGGGCGTTCCCGGGTCTGAAGAAGCCAGGGCGCCCGCCATCTTAGAAGGAAGCACGCGCGCAGCCCCGCGGCCGCCACGCCCGGTGCGCGGACACCGCAGCCCAACCTCCCGGGCCGCAGGCGAAAGAAAGCGCCCGGGCAGGCCGAGGGCACGGTGGCCCAGGGCCTGGGCAAACAAGGCCTTCTGAGGACATCGAGGCCGCCCACCCCCCAGTCGACCCACGGCTCCCGGGACCGCCCGTCCCCTCCCCCGCCCAGCAGAGCTCGATGTGGCCGTGAGCTACCCTCCCCTGGGACCCTGTCCAGGCCTCAAGCCCACTCACGGCAGCCCCGGGTGGCCTGCAGAACTTTCGGCAAAAACGGCGGAGACGCCAAGCGACACTCCTCACGCACGAGGTCCTCGAGCGATGAAAGAAAATGGCCGCCCCGGAAGTACGTCATCACACTCACCCCACCCCCATGCTGCTCCCGCCCTCGAATGCACTCTAGGAATCTTGGAGGACCGTATCATTGTGGTTGTTCGGACCGCCAAGCCAGGAGGAGGGAAGACGGAGAAGAGGCTACCAGGAGCACTTAGGGTTGTTCTCGCTTGGCTGGCCTATCCTATTTCTTGGCTAAACAACCCCGAGATCCTGCTCAGCTGTTCTTGCTCGGGCTTGTGAGTTCCTGCCTTCAAAACGTAGAGAGCCGGGCATGGTGGCTCACATGTGTCATACGAGCTCTGGGAGGTTGAGAGAAGAGGATCCCAAATTCAGGCCCAGCCTAGGCAAATAGCGATTTAACAAGACCCTGTCTCAAAATTTTAGGAAAGAGGGAACAGGCTGGGAATGTAGCTTTAGTGCTAAAGCCCTGGGTTCAGTCCACACGTGTGCATGTACACGCACAGCACACACACACACACACACACACACACAAGCATAGATAAGGAATCTGACACCTGACACATCTGAACAGGGCTGACTTTATTAGAAAAGGTTTCATTGCAGGGCGTGGTGGCTCATACCTGTAATCCCACCACTCAGGAGGCTGAGGCAGGAGGGTCTCTGCAAGTTCGAGACCAGCCTGGGCTGCAAAGTGAGTTCGAGACCAGCCTGGGCTGCAAAGTGAGTTCAAGGCCAGCCTGAATTGCATAGTGAGACCCTGTCTCAAAAAGACAAAGGTCGTGAGTTCGGTTCCCGGTACCGGAGAAAAACCAAGAGAAAAACCAAAAAAAAAAAAAAAAAAAAAAAAAAAAAAAGAAGGGGTTCACGTTTCCCAGCATTGTTTTGAGGCCTGGCTTGCTCAGGATAGAGGAGCCTTGGAAAGGCTTGCTGGATGAAGGAGGGTCAGGGACTTGCTTGGAGATCTTCCTGTACACCCAGAGGACCCTTGGGGTCAAAGGCGCTGCCTCTGTACTGCAGGAGGACCAAGGAGGAAGGAGCCTCCACAAGTCCTTCCTACCCCAACTCAGAGTATCCTGCCCACAGCAGCCCATACATCCTCACCCATCTCATTCCTGCGGCCACTGTGATGTCCCACAGGGCTCAAGTCCCTCCCTCACATTCACGTGCTGCTCCTTAGAAACCCAGCACCCTGCCATGATGCCCAGTCCACAGGGCACCCGTGCCTCAGCCACGTGCCACCATGGCCAGACCTTCCCCAGCACACTTTGGCCCTGTGCGACCCATCACCCCACTCATGGTGATTTTATCTCCAGTCTTTGGTGGTTGGATCCTATGGGAACTCCACTGATCACCCCTAAAAGATCTCTGAATATGAAAGAGCAGGGATTAGGGTCTCACTCCCTGCTCACCACAAAACACAGGGTTGGGTAGGTATGCTGAGGCCGAATCAAAAGAATATACGCACAGTGGGTAGTATAATATTGATTTTAGAACAGATTAGTTTCAGCAAAACATTACTATCCCTAATGTTAAATTGACCCAATTTGTGTATGACAGAATTTGGAGTTTCCATTGTAATTCTGTAATAATTTATAAACATGAAATTTATTATCAAGCTTTAAGGTACACACATTTAAATACTTTTTTTACATATTTGGCAAATTCTCACATATCCAGCTGTTTTAAATATAACTCAAACAAGTACGTGTTAAGCCATTTAGAGCCTGTCTGCTTTACATAACCGTGTAACTGCACCGGCCATTCCTGGTTATAAAAAAGACAATCCCTGTGGCTGTAAACTGTGACCCAAAAACTTCTACCTTGCTGTTGAGCAAACTGTACCTTGACATGTAAATGTCCTCTGTAATTCCCCTACCTCCCAGGAGTTATCTTCTCACTAAGCAACATCCCCAGCTGTTTTTATTTTTTATTTTGAGGCAGGCTCTTGCTGAGTCACTAAGTTGCCCAGACTAAGTTCAAACTTGTGATCCTCCTGCCTCATCCTCCCAGAGTGCTGGGATTACAGGCAAGGACCATCATGAATGACTCCCCTTTTATACAATCCTGTGCTGGTACTGCCCAATAAAACTAGTACAACACTGCCCTCTTGTGGTCCATCTCTTCCTGCCTTGATCAGCCTTGAACTCAAATTCACCGTTGTATTGAAAAACTACAGATTTTCTTGTCTCTTTGCTTGCTTCGTTACATTTCTTTAGTTTCTTTTTTAAAATCTTCTTTATTTTAAAGAGAATAAAAATTTTAAAAACATTAAAAACAATACAGAATTTCAAAACAAGATAACAGGAAATCAACAATGATTGTTATATTGCATATTGTTGTCTTCAAAGTAATTGTTCAGATTACCAAACATAAGCATACAAAATTGGTCAAAAAATTTTTAAGAAAAAAAATTAAGCATTAACTGTTCCTTTCAATAAACCTACAGAAATTACTGGTACAATTAATTATCTTAGCTATCTTGTGTGTGTGTGTATATATATATATATATATTTTTTTTTTTTCCCTTCCTTCTGCCTTTCCTCTTTTCCCTCACCCCAGTTGTTCTTTTCTTTTGAGCAGTTTCTTTCCCTCTCACAATATCCATTGTACTTTTCGGGTTTAATTCTGGCTACATCATTACTCGTGACATTGTGTCATCATGCTGCGTATACATTCTGGCTTCTGATGACTTTGTCAAAGTTTCTTACAATGACTAAAAATACAAGTCTTACCCAAAATATGCAAAAAAGTATGAAGAGTGACCTTGTTTCCTAATTGTGTTAAATTAACCATGTGAAATCCTATCACATAGGCAGTGCATCACAATGTGTATAATGACTTCTCTCAATGACTGGAACCCCTGGGCTCCTGGAATGTAGACCTTTCAGTGTTGCTCAACCTCCCATTGACATGTGGCCCCCAGCAGAGAGGAGGCAGGGGCCTGTGGGCGGAGTGAAAAGAGCAGTTCCGGATTCGCTGGAGACAGATCCACACCCTGCGGAGCGGAGCTAAGGTGCCCCAGGATGCCCTGGCAGCACTGCATCCATTAGAGGTAGGAGCGGACATTCATCAGAAAAGCAGTTGAGAGCCCTCAGAGGTGATGTGTGTCCACCTCAGAGGACCTCCTGAAGTGTTGTGCCAGCGACCATGGAGGGGAAAAGTGGCCATCCTGGAAACCAGCAGAGAGGAGTACAGAAAAGCAAGGACTTTTCTATCACCACCATTATCCTTGGGTGGTGTAGACCACTGGCACTGTGCCAGAAGGAGCATGAGTCAGCAAGGGCTGACACAGACCCAAGCATCGGCCAGGGACCCCTAGGGCCCTGGAGTCCTGAATTCACCCTGTGCCTAACATGAGGGAGTTACCCACACTCATGATGACAGCTATCCGGTGGCTCCTTCCATGCCAGCTACCATCCTGGGACTGAGGTGCAGCCACAGGGTCCTGGGAAGACCTGGGAGGTGCATTTTGGAGCTCCTTGGGGTTCTTGGGTAATTCGCATGCTGGGTGAGAGGTCACAAGCTGCCCCATAGAAGAGACCTGGACCAAGGCCTACATAGGTTACAGTCTATCCTTGGAGCTCTCCCTTTAACAACACTGCTGGGCCCAGCCACTCTCAGGCAAGTGGTGGCAAAGAAAGGAGCTCCAAAGAATAGGACCCCTCGAGAGACGTGGCCTAGGACTAGACTCTGTTTTCAAACAAGGTCTGATGATGGTATGGGCACAAATTTAAGGCATGGTCAGAGAGTTATGCCTATCATTTTATCATATGGCCAAACCTACCTATAGAAGCAACTGGAAAGTAGCAATTTCTATGAAAGCAGAGGAGACTGACAGAGGAGAAGATGAGTAACAGCTGGAACCATAACTATTGGAAGACAGGCTGGAAAAGTGAATATTTAGATGATCTATGATGAAGGACAGCAACAAAGAAAGGAGGTAAGCATGGTCAGAACAGGCTGTGTGTCACCTCACTGCCTGTGTTTGTAGCTTTCTGTCACTATAATAACATATCAGAGGCGATTAACCTACACAGAGGCAAGGCTTGTCTTGCCTCTTGATTCTAGTGGCTCAAGTCCAAGACTGAGTGGCCTTGTTTCTTGGGGTCAGTGCATCATGGCAGGAGGGCACGGTGGAACAGGTGCTCACTTCAGAAGCCAGGAAGCAAAGACAGACAGATGAAATGGATAGGCAGGAGCTCCTAACATCCATTGAGAACACGCCCTTGATGATTTAAATCCTAAGTTTTAGGACCTCCCACAAAGCGCCAGGAATATATGTATATTTACATTTATAGTTGTAATTTTACCTTGACTAACTGAATGTATTATCATTTTATAATGACTCCTAATCTTCTACCACTTTTGATTTAAGGTCTATTTTGTCTAATAAAAATATTGATTCCAGCCCTCCACATTCCAACTCTCTACATAAAGTCTATCTGTGTTTTTACAAGTGAGGTGACTTTCCTGAAGCAGCATAACTGGGACTTTTTTTTAGCATTTCCATCACTCTGTGTATTAATTTGAGAATTTGATCCATTTACATTTAAGGTAGCCAGGGATATAGCTCAGGAGCACAGCATTTGCCTGGTAAGCATGAGGTGGTGATTTCGATTTCCCATACCAAAAAAATAAAATAAAATAAAACAACTGTACATTTAAGGTAATTGTTGGTAGGTAAATTTTTACTACTGCCATTTTGTTACTTGTTTCCCAGTTTTATTGTAGTTCTTTTCTGTCTTTTATAGTCTTCTTTTGAGGTTACATTATTTACTAATGTGCTGATTTATTGCTCCTATTTTTGACTTGTGTCTTACAGAGATTTGTTTTGTGGCTACCATGAGACTTAAAAAAAGTTTTATTATAAAACAGTATTTTGAAATGATGTGCAATTTAATATTGATAGAAACATTGGGAAAGAAAGAAAACACAAAAAAATACTAATAAAAACCTGTTGCCCTTCAATTCTCTCCACACTTTGGATTCTTGATATTCCATTGTACATTTCTTTATTTAGCTTAGCTTTTAAATTATCATTTCTTTGTTT